GTGCCGTGGCACTCACTGGGGCCAGTGTTCCCAGCCCTTCCAGAGCCTGGTACCTGTGTCGCTGCACTTGTCCCAGCCTGACTCCACGTCCCAACAGCCCCCTCCTTCCTGAAATTCCCACCTCACCCGGGCCATTTCCCCCTTGGGTATAATCCTCTGTATATTCCTCTGGCCATGGCAGTTTTTGGTGGTCCTGTGGGAATGGCTGAGGGAGCTGGGGGGGCTCAGCCTGGAGCAAAGGAGGCTCAGGGGGGACCTTCTGGCTCTGCAACCCCCTGACAAGATGGGGGAGCCAGGTGGGGGTCAGGCTCTGCTCCCAGGGAACAAGGGACAGAACAAGAAGAAATGGCCTCAAGCTGTGCCAGGCGAGGTTTAGATTGGATATTTGGGAAAATTTCTTCACTGGAAGGGTGGTCAGGCACTGCCCAGGGCAGAGGTGGAGTCCCCATCCCTGGAGGGATTTAAAGGCCATGTGGATGTGGAACTTGGGGACACGGTTTAGTGGTGGCCTTGGCAGTGCTGGGGTAGTAGTTGGACTTGATAATCCTAGAGGTCTTTTCCAAGCTAAACAATTCCATGATTCTATGTGTTGGACTTATAGGTTGATCTCTCATCCATTGCATAACTGGAGGAGCCCAGCCAGTAGCCCACACTATAGTGGGGACCTCTTCCCACCCTTCATCTTCCTGCACACAGAAACTTTTGTGAGTGCCCACCCTTGATCCCTCCTGGCTGCACTTTAAGCTGCAGCTGTCCCAGTAACTCGGGCTGGCCCCTGCCCGGCGGCCTCAGCCCCCCTGAGCTGGCTCCTCTCCCTGCCTATCCTGCTCTGGGTGTGCTGGAGAAGCAGGAGATGGGAGACTGTCCAAGAAATGCCAACCAACACCCAGCCCTTCCCCGGGTCCCCGTGCTGCACCACGGGGACAATGTCCCTGCTGAGATACAAGCAGGGGAATCCCATCTTCTGTCCTTCCTGTCCTGCCCCACAGCCACACTGCCAGACCCTGCTGAACTGGGCTCCTTTGGACACAGATACAGCTCTGGCAGAGCTCTGCCAGGGCCTGGAGAGCCTCTGGCTTCCTGTTGTGCCAGTGTGCCAGCAGCAGAGAGGGCTGTAGGTATTTATAGCATATTCCAATAGCTGCCTTATCTGCATCTCTGGTTCGGGCACTTGCAGGTTGCCTGGGTGGGTGTGGGCATGGGGGGGGCACAGTGTGGAGGAGGTACAGGCCATCTGCAGCCACCCTGGCTCATCCCTCCATCTGTGGGCACACGTGTCTTGAGGATACTCATGGATTTTGAAGCTTTGGGAGTGAGCTGGCCAGCCCTCCAAGGATCTGTGCCATGGGCAGGGTGGCTGCTGGTGTATGTGGTTCAAGGATGGGGTGGCAGTGTGGGTGATGCTGAGAGACTCTCTCCAGGTGTTTCAGCCTTCCTGGGTGGTTTGAGAACAGAGAAGACCTTTGTGTCTGTGGCTCAGTCTCAACCAGGAGAGGAAGGAGGTTTTTCCAGGTCCTCTGCTTTGCCCAGAATCCTCAGGACAGACTTGCACGTGGGGGGTGAGCTGGCACCAGGCCCTTCTGCTGGGCTTGAGGACAAGCAGAGGGAACATCTGGCCCAGTGTTAATCATAGAACCATGGAATGGCTTAGGTTAGAAGGGACCTTAAAGATATCTCATTCCACCCCCTGCCATGGGCAGGGACACCTTCCACTAGCCCAGGTTGCTCCAAGCTGCATTCAACCTGGCCTTGGACACTTCCAGGGATCCAGGGGCAGCCACAGCTTCTCTGGACAACCTGTGCCAGGGCCTCCCCACCCTCCCAGCCAAGAATTCCTTCCCAGTGTCCCGTCTAACCTTGCCCCTGTCAGTGGGAAGCCATTCCCCCTTGGCCTGTCACTCCAGGCCCTTGTCCAAAATCCCTCTCCAGCTCTCTTGGAGCCCCTTTAGTCACTGGAAGGGGCTCTAAGCCATCTAGTCTCCTGCCCCAGAGCAGCAACGCTCCTAACAAAGGGCAGCCTGGCATTGCCACAGGAAAAAAACCTCCCAGAAAGCCACTGCTCTAGGAAAGAAAAGCTACCTGGGCATGCAAATTGGAATTGCAATTTTCTGCAACCCCCAGAGCTGAGCAGCCCAAGCAGACACAGGCTCTGCGGGGGGATGAGCTGGAGGCTCGTCTGAGCTTGAGCTGGGAGCGAACAGCCACAGGGTGGCTGGAGAGAGCCGCCGTGCTGGAGCTGCCGCCGTCCCAGCACAGCCTCCGGCGAGCTCTGGCTCTTTTCCGCTGTCCGGACCATCAAGGTGACCCAAACTGCTGCTGACAGACACGGCGCGAGGACACAGCAGGGACAGATGCCAGGCTGACACCCTCCCGGGTGGGAGATGCTCCCTGCTCTTGCAGACTCTGGGCAGCAGCAGGAGAATCCACACATGGCCCCGTGTCCTGGGAGCTGCTGCGCTCCCTGCAGAGCTGCAAGGACCCAGTGCCTGGCACTGCCCACCCGGCCCACGGGGGTAGAGGTGGGCTCCACAAGCTGAGGGTGACCTGGCAGAGGGGCTGCCCCTTGGCAGAGGGGTGGACGTGCAGCGGAGCCGGAGCTCACGGGTGCCCACGTTCACACAGCTACACCTGGCCAGGGACGTGTTATGAAAGAGCACATGGGGACCCACCCCAAACCTCTGGCACAACATCACAGGGGAATAATAATAATACTAACAACCATCTGAAACCCGATTACAGCTGGCAAGCAAGCAGAGCAGCGGCGACAGAGAGGCAAAGGAATGATTAATAATGAAAGTCTGAGGTTTCAACATTTGGTTTGGTCCTGTGTGAGATGACAAGGTTGGATCCCCGTGGCTTGCAGGCAGGGAGCGGGCAGCAGAAAAGGCCGTCCATCCCCTGCTTTGGAGGTGCTGCCCTGCTTTGGGGTGGAGGGCTGAGCTGCATGGATGCAGCAGTGCCCTGTGGAGAGATGTCCCCAGCCCATTCCCTTGCCTGGTGGTGACATAGTGGGTCTGCAATGGGCAGGAGGGCAGGGGGAGACTGGAACACTCTGCCCAGCTCCTGTGCCCATGGTCAGATGGGTTCAGTGTGGAGCTGCCATGCAGTGCCCTCCAGTGCCTTCGGGGCAGGAGTTCAGCACCATGGGGACTTAGTGGCCTCCCCCATGTTGAAGATGGATCCCTGGCTTTATGGAAAGCTGCTGGCTCCTGTGTGGGCAGCAGCCATGGAGGAGCAGGGTCTCTCAGCTACCTCAGGGAAAATAGCTCTGCCTTAGGCATAGGGATGAAGAGAAGGTGCCGAGGGTAGCACAGCTCAAGGGCATCTCCTCGCCTTGGGTCATGGTGGAAGGCTCAGCTCTGGTTGAGACAGCAGCTCCCAGCCCCTCTGGTGTCATCCAGCCCATCGTCTGGCTGGAGTCCTGCTGGCAGCAATGGGATGGACCCTCCCCCATCCTGAGTGTAGGATGGGGTTGGTTCCCACCAATGAGAACTCACTCACCCAGTTTTTACTTCCATTCCTGGCCTGATTTGGGCCTGAGCTGTCCATCAGTCTCCTGGCTATCCTGGGCACAGCTCGGGGGCTGGCACGGCCCGGGGCCTCCTCTGGCTCTGCTGACTGCCTGCTCAGTGTCCTGGGGGCTGGGGGGGCTGGGCACTGTGGTCACAGGCTGATTGCCAGAGTCCCATTTGAGCAGGGATTGCTCCTGGGGGGGCACTGGCTGTGTGTGTCCAGGGACCTCTGTGCTCCTGGACACATGGCATGGCATGAGGACAGGTCTTTGTGGGCACATCACCAGCCTCCTGGGGAAAACTGCTGAATTTGAAGAGTCTGGGATAGGGGCTATAATTCACT